ATCATTTCGCGTTTCGTGCCTCTTTGTTCCAAGAACACGATCGATAGCCTACGCGAGATCGGCGATCGCCGACGCGAGTAATGGCGAAGATGTAATGGAACCTCGGCCAAGTGGCGCTTGCGAAACGGCAGAATTTATTTCTCCGACGAGTGAAATTACTTAATTTCCCGAGCATCGTTCCCGAAACGTTCGCGATGCTTCGTTAATAACGTTATTAGACGTCTTAGACGCCGCGGAAGAGGCGGCAGCGATGGCGGGTATCGTTATCGGTTGTAGCTCTCGAATCCAGCGACACGCAGAAAGCACGCGATTATTCGATTTTATTAACCGTCAACGATGTGACTAATGCCATGAAATTATTGCATGGGTCAAAGGTTTCCTCCGTTGCGAAATCGATGCACAATTGCTGGATTTGGCGCGATCGCGCCTCGATTTCCATGCAACATCGTGATCCATCCTTTCCCATATTCTCTCCGAAGCAGATCGTTCCGTCTAACTCTGTCATTCTCCCGAACGAAGCAAAAACAGTCGGGTCTCGGTTAATCGGTTTCACCCATTGGTTCCGTTACTGAATTTCTCGTTACCCGTAATCGGATAACAGATCGACTAGCTGTGAATCGAGACGTTGCCGGTGCACCGAAAATATCGAGATCGGATCAACCGCATTCGAATATAACGAAGATTGTTTATAACGCGTCTCTATCTTCCACGGACTCGGTGAATTTCGAACGTCAGGAACTCTACAACCCGATATCTCGATAATCGCGAACTCTGCATAATTTGCAGATGCATAATTAACGCGGTAAATATTTATACGCGTACCTGTTATAAAATTTACCGGGTCACCGGTATTTTCGATCGAGACATCGTAGAAATGTCAAAAATTTATCTCCGCGGATCGGCATCCGTCTCCGTTCGACTTGGACGCCAGCGTCGGGGTCATAATCGCGAAAATAATTCCGCGTTTCCGGTAAGTTCGGAAAAACGAGAGGTCGCGCTGGCTACTGGCATACCGACGTATCATTCGAGTTTATCAGGTTTCTCGTTGAACGACGTGTTTCCGTAGCCGGAGAAATTCTGCGCGCCGTAGACGAATAATAACGTGCGATACACCCCGGATCGATTATTAAAAAGAAGAAAAGGGAGGAAAAGGAGAAAGAATCCGATGAACTCGGCGCAATTATTCGGAACGGTGTATTTTAAAGAGTTAAGCACTTTGTAACACGGTCGCAGTACCGAGATTATAATTTATAACGGCAATTTTCGCCCGGCGCACTATTATTACCCGGTATCGCGAAATTTTATTGAAGCTAGTTCACTTTTAAATACCCGCGAATACTTTGACCCAAAGAGCGGTACGTGCACGCGTACGCTGGCCCGGTGTTTATGTTAATTTCCCGTTTAAATATTTGCCAATAATTTCACCACCCTGTACCAACCTCCGCGCCCTGTCACCCCGTCTCTCTTCTACCCAGCATCCGACCCATGGTGCCACGGGTCGGTGGAAATTCCAGAGGGATAACAAGATCGACCATCGGGGCGGGAAGAGAGCAAACTTGTATCCGCGTAAGGGCGAGTATATACGTCGGGGTTGTACGAATGAGAAACTCGGGCGGAGTTATCGGCGAATCTCGAGGCAGGGACGGCGGCTGTAGGCGCAGAAATTTGTTTTCTCGTCATCGCGAAGGCAGGACGACGTTACCCAGCCGACGACGTTACGGGCGTTCTTCTTACGAAGCCTTTGCGCAACCACGCTCTTACGTGGGTACTTTCGCTTTGCATAATTTACTCGCCGCGTTTCGATCGTGTATTCGTATTCGGGACGGCTATGACTCTCGCGACATCGTCCACTTGCTTTTGAAACCGCTCCCGTCCTTTGGCTATTTCGAACCGATCGCTCGGTTCCCTGGTCTTCGTGGAAACCCGCCCGGCCTCCCCGGTGAAACGGTTTCCGCGAAACCCGCGCTCGCGCCGTCTCTCTCGCGCCCGTGGCTCCGACCTCCGCGCCGTCTCTCTCGCGCCAACGCGCGTCTCCACGCTGATAAAGTTCCGTAGTACCAGCAAGAGGCGCGCGCCGCAAGCTTTGATCGTTCACGCCCCGAAGTTTGATTAGCGATCGCACAGACGCTCCGAGTTCGCGTTCCATCGGCAACACGGAAACAGTTCCTCGCGTGTCGGCGTTGGATGTTTGTTATTTGAGCCTGATTGGCCGGGTAAAAGTCGTTATCCGATACCCTCCGCTGGAATTCGGAGTTAAACTCGAAACGGTGCTTGGGAAATTTTTCCTTCTTAACGTTTTTAAATTATTCGCGAGTTCGGGAGCATTAAGGAAGCGGTGTAAAGGAAGTCTGCTGGTTTCGTAAGATTCGAAAACGAAAGTTTCAACTGCCTTTTGTTCGATTTCCGCGGACGAATTCTGACCTCAAGGTCGGAGGAGATTAATTTCTTTTCTCGGAGAAATTACGAGATTAACTAATCGCGGAACGATTTCGTATACGCGTTGTTTAAAGCATACCTACAGTTGGGTGTACATTATTGGTGGAGGCATTTTGGCACACCCGTTATATTCCTATATTTCATCGTGACATCGATGATATCGAAGCTAGCGAGTTAGTCGAAATGATTTCAAAATGATTTCGGACTGCTGAGTCTTTATTGTTATTAAAAACATACGGCTGATTTTGGCAAAATTAATATTGACTTTTATCGCGATAATAGCTTAATTATATACACCTATTTATCTCCGTCATAGCACTGTACTTATCGTTATCTACGCGTACAATATTTAGGCTCGCATAATGGGTCAATAATCCTAGCATTAGCGAGAGTAAAAAATCACGCGTTTCCAATTCAAATTAGAATATCAGCGTGTACCGCGAAAACGGGAAACCACTTTCATAAGCGATTTTTAAAAACCTGCATACTCGCGCGGCGCAGTGTGACACGGACCTGTGCTTTTCACCCGGTGTGTATTTGTATTCGGCACGGCGCGCGATTCGCGACGTCGTAAAAACAGTTTTGAAACGTTTCGAGGTATCCTTGTTCCCGGGTTTCTAAACCAACTACCTCCATCTCTCTCTCCCTCTCTAAGACATTTTCACCGACGAGGCGAATGCGAGAAAATGTCAAAACATTCCAATCTCGATCCCCGGTGCGAATTAATTCGAAAGAACGATCAATCGAGAATAACAGACACCCGCCCTGTCCCGCTTTATCCCCGAACACCTAACCTATACCGAATCCGTTTCTCAGATCGCACCGATAGATAGATACGTTTGACAGTCGCACGTTACTCACCGAAATCGTCGTTCGCCGCGAACCTTTGGTAACGATCGTTTGCCGTGCTCGCACGCCCGTGAATCGATACATATTTACGCACACGTATCGACGTTATCTGGCTGGCCGATCATTTCGGAAGCTACATCAATCACGCGGCCAATGTTCGAGATCAATTCCGACAATCTTGCGCGATAACGGGATCGAATAATCGACGGTGACGAACGTTCCCCGTTTACGGGACAATTTCCACGCGTTTATCGGCCATTAAAGCCGAAACGTTCGCGGCAGCGCGCGCCGTTCACCGTCCGGCGCGCCAAATTCGAACGCGAATTTTTACCGATCGCTCCCCCGAGCTGACGTAACCTCGGACGCGAGCCGCGCAATGAAATTAATTCGCGACGAAAGCACCGTGTAAATAATGTAAAACGACGTTTCGATGTTTCACCGTGGGGCAGCGGCAATTTCACCGTGAAACTTTCGCGCTGTATTCGTATTGAAATTATGAAAGAGCCGCGGTCGGGGGATACGCGCCACGCGGACCACGGCATCCACCATGGAATACGAATTAACAATATCTCGCGTTTTCTTTTCCTTTGTCTTTTTCCTTTTTTTCTTTCCGTCTTGCGAACCGTCGCGCAATTTCCAACTTACTTTCTCCCGCTTTCCTTCTTACTTTTAATTTACTTCTTGCTTTGCCAGTCTACTTCGCTGCGTTGTTAGATCGATGTTCGCATCGAGATCCAATGCAACGACTCATAGATCTCGATGAGGAGCGACTAATCTCGAGCCCGAATTTCTTTCCTCGCGAGTAACTTTTAAATCGTAGAGGGATAAAACGGTGGTAAAAATTTATCCTTCGATTCGGTGATCGATGACGACCAGTCTACGAGGTTATGTTCGCATTTTCGAGACGTACGAGCGTCCAGACACGAACCGCCTAATCTACTGCGAGTGAAACCCACGTGCAAACCAACGAACGCGCGCGGAATTCGCGAACCTCTTCTCGTCCCTGCAGGTTCGCGAACTTTGAACGCGAAAATCGCGTTGCGTAAGCCGAGATCGACCGTGGATTGACGAGGCGTTGAATAATCGAGGGCTTCGAACGAAATATTCTTACGATTGCGAACGGTTAAACGGTGATTCTCGAATTACGCGCCGAACGCTGGCTTTATCGAAGTTCCATCCGAATTTTGCCACGCGGATATCGCGTTTCCTACGGGGTATCGTGGTATTAGTCGAGGAGAGTATTTCGTAAAAATTCCAAAAGGAGGAACGAAAAAATGAAACGTTCGCCGGTTGCCTTATCTCGAGCTGGACGAAACAGTGCCACCGGCAAAGTACACTTGGCGATTCCACGAAGTAACTGTTCCTGCTTAGAAACGAAAAAAAAAAAAAAAGAAACATACGCTCATACGTATATACACTGTCGCGTATACAGTAGTAGGGAACAGGCTGAAGTACTAGCAGGCACGGAGCGCATTATTCTCAAAAGGACGTTATGTAAACTCGGTTCACGGCAATTCCGTGGGCCTCGTACAACGGTTCTCCGACACGAGCGGAATTAGAAAATTCACGTTAGGCCATCACGAACCGGCCGTACGTACGCGTGATTCTTTTTCCTTAAGATCGTACACAATCGTCGTGGGAACGGAACGTTTCCATAACACACGCATACTTATATCTATACGTATAGAGAGAGCGTAACGGAGCTTTTTCGTTACCTTTTATGCTCCCGGACGAGGTATGGGGCGTCTGCGGTGCGTGCGAGGTCAGAGGTAACGGCGAGCCCGAGGAGGTCGCGGAGTGTTCCAACTTGGAACTCACCGCGCTCCACATCTCGAACATGTTGAACGCCGTGGTGATGGCCTTTAGTCACTTCCAGGCTGCTACTCCCGTAGATCACCCGGCGCCCTTTACCAGCCCGGCGTAACATCCGCTGCGGCGCTTCGCGACGCCACCCGAAAGGACGTCTTCGTCGAGCTCCACCGTCCGCGTTTCGAGGTGAGAGCGCAGAATCTATCTCGGTTGTATCCTCGGTCCACGTGTCACTCCAATATCTTCCGTAATATCTTCCGTATACAATGTCGACCGTCGTGTTCCTTGATTACTCTCTGTACTATCGTACGCGTTGTACTATGCACCACCACCGTTACCGTTACAGCTAGATGCTTACCCAGAACTTTCACGCGAGTCTCACTTCGTATAGTTGTACCCTTTTTCTTTATTATTTTTTTTTTTTTTTTTTTTTTTTTTTTTTTTTTTTTTTTTTTTTTATTCGTTCGCGGTTATTTCTTTTCGTTTCTATCGATTAGTCGTTTCTACTTTTTTTTCTTTCTTTTTTAATTATCGGCGACTCGATTGCTTCGCGTTAAATATTGTCGAATCGATGTCGAATACGATCGTTAACAAAACTATCTCTCGGTAACACTTCTTCCTCTTCTTCTTCCGCTAATTCCCTACCGATTATTTACTAAGCTCGATATTTTTACGCACTATTACGAACGGCACTGAAACCCGTTTCTTTTCTAGCTTCCCTTCCTCTTATCGATACACTTTTACTACGTGTATATGTATATATATATATAATGTGTAGATGTATCACTTCCGGTATCGTGAACCGATTTCAGCGTACAACGACGCGTCCTCTCCCTCTTTTCACCGGTATTACGTTAACACTGTGTCCATCGTCATCGTCCACTTCCGTCTCCACCTCCTCTTCCGCCTCCTCCACGCCACCCCGACTCGCCCTACGCCACTGCGTGACACGGTTTACCGCGTATCACCTCTCTACTGTTATTAGTATCGTCAGCACCTTGGCTAATGAACGTCCCGCCGACCGTCGGCCAGCCTTAATCGCCGCGATGTCGAAACACACTGAGCCGACTGGTCGTGATCGTCGTCGTTACGACCGGGTCCCTTGTTTTCGTCGTCGCTTTTGTTGATGGTACCTCGCGTGACATGGCGCCACGGGCGTTTCGCGTTCGAAGATCGTCGATCTGCAAACAGTTTCGTCAGCATCTTGCCTTTGCCTCGCCTTTGGTCGTCGTTTCGCTCGGTACTGTTTCACCTCTGGCTATCGTCTTCCGACGCGCCTATGTTTTTCACCCTTTTTCGCTCGAAATTTTCGCGAAATTTCGCATTTTCGATGGAATCCACGCGGGTGGAAGGGGGACGGGAAGCAACGGTGATTTCTAAAATAGGGCAGCCGGTAAGTGCTTTCTTACGTAAATATTTCTCTCGATACGAGAGCGAGTACGAGTCCGCCTGGAAATCGTAAGGGTGGTACGAATGGTATACGGCACGTCGTATGCACACGTGGTTCTGGAAGTGTTCGTGGAAAGCACGGTCGAGCAGGGTTTAAGCGAAGGAGTAATCGCGAGATGGGACATGGAAAGACAACAATTGCACGAGCCACGTGTTCGAGATGTAAAAAGAGAGTCACGCGAGAAGAGAAGTGAGAGGTGTAAGAGGATAGGATAAACCAGAGGCGACACGCACGTGTTTCGAGACGGGTATCGTGTTCGGCACGTTGACGTGTTCATCTACTCGCATATGCTTCGTGCACTTGTCACACGAACGCCCGACACCGTTAAATCGCGAATTTAATTAACGCGTTGCATCCCATTACGACGAAGCACGGTGGAGAGAGACGGCGAAAGGGAAAGGGACAGGAAACCGGGAAAAATTGGGCCACCCCTGCTCCGAAAATCGAGAACGATGGTCGTTCTGTATCTCGTCGCTTTTGCGTATCGCGTAACGAAATTCCACGGTGACAGAGACTCGGTGAAAATTGCGGAAATTGCGAAGAAGGGGGACGACGAGAAATTCCTCGTCGCGTGGCTACAGGCAAATAGTCGGAAAGAGGGAGGAAACTTGGCGGAAAAATTCGGAAGAAAGAATGGGAAACTCCTCGACACCCGGATCGCCAGCTCCAGTTGAGTTGGGCGAGAGAAAAAGAGAGAGAGAGAGAGAGAGAGAGAAGAGTAAAAGTTGCGAAAAAAATGGAGAAGAGAAGCGAAGAATGGAATTGGTGGTCGTCCGGGAGGAGTCAGGCCGTCGCGTTACCGCAGAACGTGGTCGATCGGTCACGACTTGACACGAAAATTCAGACATGTGCGCATCGATCGTGCATTTCCGTACACGGGCTGTTCCCCTTTAATCCTGCCGCGTTGCAAGTACGAGAGCTCGTGTCGAGGGGAACCGCACTTTGCTATCGAGCGAACCTCGCAACCGAGCGACCACCAGCCGAGCCTGCCTTGCCTTGCCTGCCTACCC